CACCCACACCCACACCCACACCCGCACCCACACCCACACCCACACCCACACCCACACTCACACCCACACCCACACCCACAGCCTTTTTCTCTCATATATGGAGCACTACAAAAGTTTTCATGATTCTCAAAGACCGTTCTTTTGTGAAATATGATTCAAACTGTCATGAAGGGTAGATGATAGATTACTCGCTTTAGTGTGGGGCCGAGGGGTCGACGTCCCTCCTGGAGTTCGTCTAGGGATCAGTTTTTGATTATGATTGAAATAACAGTTGAATGTCAACCTGTGCAATACTAAAATTGAGAATTGTACGATCTAGACTTGTTTAGTTTCTAAACGAACATGATTTTCGTTAAGTCAGTTTTATGAGAATCGAAAATTATACGAAAAACTTTTGTAGTGCCCTATGTACTAACAAAAATACTATTATATACAGGAATGCATGCCTACAGTCGATTTCTGGCGACTGTTGCTGTAGGTACCTTTGTCCTTCTTTGTATATTCTTTACTTTTTTAAATCTAAATGTGCTTTATGTTGTTGTGCTTCTTTGTATATAATCACATGTTGCAGGACGTTTATATTATGTACCAGAATAACAATCAGATGATAGTAGATTTTTAGCACTGAGTGTTGTGATGTTTTATTTTTGTTTGCGATGTGTTTATTTTTATATTGATATAATAACTAACTTATCTTATTTATTCATTGTTTTAGCTAAAGGTCGTATTAATTATAAATTACAACCCGAAAGTTATGGTTTACGTGATGGTGTTGCTCAAACAGTGACATTATTTAAGCCAAGACTTGTTACTGTTCATCGACCAACAAGTCTTTATCATCAACAACAATTAGCAGCATCCAAAAAATCACCAGTTACAACACTGAATCGAGTAATATTTGATATTTTTTTTCTATTTCTTCATCGATTGTGATTTTTAAGGGATCGAAAGATAAATCTCGACGAACATCATCAATTACTTCTTCAACGCAACATCACCGACCAAGCAAAATTCCATTGCCAATATCTCGACTTAAAAAGGCAACAAATGGTGGAACAACACCAACGAAAAAATCCTAAACAACCAAAGACACATACATCCCATGTCGCCACTTTTTTAACAACTGCGTCGCAGTTACGCGTAGAGCCAATTCTGCGTCGCAGTTGCGCGCAACTGCAAAATTTTGATCGTAACTGCGCGTAACTACGGCGCATTGATCGCAGTAAAAAATTCATGTGTTCGACTGCAACGCAGTTACGCGTAGATGCGAAAAAATATCGAAGTTGCGCGCAGTTACGCGTAACTGCGTCGCAGTTTGATCGCAGTCGAACATATGGGATATATTATTTGTTGTATCATGTATTCATTTACATGTATCTTCTATATTTTCTTTCTTAATCTTATTCCTAGTCAAGATTTTACTCTCCCTTATTTATTATTTACTCATGTTTTGATCTCTTTACTGTGTGCTCTAAGCGGCGCTTCGTTTTTTTTTTATGTTATTCAAATAATTAAATGATAAATGAGGAAGAGCTAATAATATGGTTATTGAAATTTAACCTTGAAACGACCAACTTAAAAACTACTCCTTATTGACCACCTGAGTCTGTACCGACCCCAGGTGGTCGTGTCACGGTTAAAAATTCATTGTATTTTGACATCTTTACATAGGTAGGTGTCCTGTTAATATGTTACGCTTGCTCTATGCAATCCTGTTTCACATAGTCTTCTGTAGGCGTAGTTTTAGATTGATTTATGCTTTTTGCCAATGAATTGGATCTATTAGAAAAAAGTCAATAATTTTGATATTCGATCGTCTCAGAATAGGATATATATTAAAAATTGAAACATTTGTATGTTGTTGATGTCAGTTAGATGTTTGTCTTTTCACATTAATTTTATCAATATAATTGGTTATATTTTGAGAACTTGCTTCTTTTGCTTTTAACTGTTGCTTATATTAAATTCTTTTACAGAAATGGTTAAGAATTCTATATAAAACAAAATCGATTATAGAAAATGAGATCAATGTTCAACAGTATTCTTTTTTGATCTCTCTCTTTCTCTTTTTTTTTACAACTTCACAATATGAAAACTTGTTTTATTTTCTCGTTAAATGAACCAATATTATTATTCATCTAAATACTTAGGACTAGAAAATTAATGAGCTTTTTCTTTCCTCTTAAGCATGTTTTATTATACTGCTATTAAGAATAATTGTTTTTATCTTAAACATTTTATATAAGGTGGAAAAGTTACTTTTCTTCAATACTTCATAGTGATGTAGGCGTAGCTCGAATAGTATTTCTATAACTTTGCAGTGAAGAGTTGTCATTTCTTTTTTGAAAGACGCAAATCCATTCTGATAATGTTCGACCAATGACATGTCATTTTCTTTTTGTCGATAGATACAATTTATAGTGATCATATCTATTACTTATAAATCCGAAAAAAACATGTCCAATATAACAATAATATCAACAGCAGTTATAACCTTCAATTTTATTTCACTCATTGGAACTATATTTATGAGTTTCGTATGCATCTTTATGCTTAGTGTACTATTGCGATCAATTGTACGTAACCATGATGTAGTTTTAATTTTGGTTGCTAATAATTATCTTGCATTATTGGCCTTTGCTCTGGCAATTATACCAATCAATATTGATATGCTTCGAGGTGATTATAATTTGTACATTGGTATAGAAACATTTAGTTGTCGCATTAAAACATATACGATGTTTTCATTCGTGACTACCATTTTTAATAGCTTTTTGTTACAGGTAAGATTTTTAATAAAGTTTAATTATCTGTAGAAGTCTATCAAAGAGAGAATTTTTAATTTATTTTTAAAATGAGGTTAAATTTCAAATCGTATTATACATTTTCGATGTGTTTTAGTATTAGAAAGTTTTGATTTTACTACAGATGAGCTTTTTTCGAAAAGTTAATTCTTTTAACATACATATGAACATATGTTTGATACATTTTCTTCCTCTATTTACAATATTTTATAAGTGCCTCTTTGATAATGAAAAATTTCCGTTGATGAATATTACAGTTTTCTTAGTCATTCAATTTCGTAGATAACACCTGTTCTCTATCTCATTTATCTCCCGTTATTCACCCTCGTTTTTTACCGTTGTGTATGATGAAAGTGTAAAAGAGCATTATGGTTTATCCTAGAATAATCGAAAAAATATATCGAAGTGGAAAATTATCGAATAGTACTTTAGAAAATTCTGACTGCCAAGATATATTCTTTATTGTATGGCATAATACATTACCACCCTAACCGAGATTATAGACAAGTCAAGTGAAAAAATTTTCCACGAAATTCGCATAGTTCAATTTTTGCTTTATCCACAGGGTGATTGGGATCGTCAATTATTTTGATCAATTGATCCTTCTGATCTGTATAAAATTTTTCGGAACATTCGTTACATGTATATTTCCAATATTTCGTAGTTATTGCTTTTTATTCAATTTGAAAATCTTAACATTTAAGAACAGCAAAAATTTTCCAGTTTTGTGAGTGTATAAACGAAAACATTGGCACTGATGACTGATCTACGTCCATTGAAGATACAACAACTGCAGTCATGATAGTAGACTTTTAATTGTATAGTAATTATTTTTTCGACTATTTTGATTAATTTCTATCAGGTATTATTCATCACTATTACTATCAGTTACATATACAAACAAATAGAATCATGCAAAAAAGAAGTAATAAACTATAAAGACCTAAATTTAGCATTTATTAGACACATCGCTATTTTTATGCTTTCTTCTTTCGAAAGAAAAAAATCGTAAAACGAAAAACAATATCGACATCTCTACTTTTAAATAATTGTAGATGTATCTGTCGAGCTCTCTGGCAATTTCTTTAGTACTTCCTACTTTTTCCTTGGCTGTATTCTTGGTCAGAGTTATGGAAACATTGCCGTATAATCCAGTATAACACGTTCTCCAATGTAAAATGAAAAATAATTTTGTCGCAAACTGAAAAGTTTCAGTAGACTGCTTATAGTTATACTCTGCTTTAGACCTCCAGAATGGAAAGTCTTTTATATTTTTCAGTAAGAAACTTTTCTCCATATTTCTATCGTCGATGACGACTATAAAAAGAGATAATTTAGCTTGACACTATGACGACAAAGTTTACCAAAATTGTCTACGACTCTGATAAAGCCCTAGTTTGTCTTCAACATTCAGAAAAAGCCATAGACAGGCTGCAGATGTTCTAGGCCTAGACTGACTGCTAGATGTCGTAGAAATCACTAGCTGGGTGCAAAATTTGCCAGAAACTAAGAGTTTCCTAAAAGATTTGGCAGACAGCTCAGTAGAAAATTTAGCACATACATTCGAGAAGTGCAGCCAGGATAGCCTATTCCATCCTCTTCTCTCTACATCAGGAGTCATGCATATAGTCCATGGACAAATCCAATATGTATAAGTAATCGATCATTATCTGTTATAATATCATTTCATATTTCTCATTAGAAAATTTTTCATCATCAAAATATTAAAAATCACTGCTTAAGTAGAGATTTAAAGAAAGTAAACTACTATGCCATTTTAGAAATTTCTATAGTAATTCAAAGTCTATAATCCGTTTAATAGGCATTCTAAATTTAAAAAACATATATTCATTTCTAGGCTGTGTTTTGTTCCTTTCGTGTGGTCTATCTTTCCTATATATGGTTACAACATGCTCTTACTTACGCTGTGATTATTCCAATCTTGTGGCTTATGTCGTTTCTTTTTATTCTACCCGTTCTTGTGTGGCATGATATACAATTTATACATATGGAAAATGTCTGCTTGCTAGCTATTCATAGTGCTCGTGGGTTTATTTGGAGTACTCTAATTATATATTTTATACCAATTATTCTCATCAATATTATTTATATACAGCTGACGCGTTTTATTCGTCGATCATCTATGACTGTTTCAGCACGAGCTAAACGCGATTTGATTGTAGCACGTCGTATTGTACTTGTTGTATGCATATTAACACTGACGGGTGTTCCTTCTGTTGTGTTGAGACTAATGTTACCTTTTACTGATGTAGGAAAACCATTGTTTTATCGCATTCAGAATATGGCTGTAGTCACTGGTTTCTTCGTTCTTAGTTTTATGCTCGTCTATGTCACTCCTCAAGTCAAAGAAATATTCAAACCAACACGAAAGACAAATATAGTAACACCTATACATATACAACAATAATGCATTTTACTTGCCACAATCACCAAATATTAGCACTACATGCTACAAACAATTATCATGATAAATATGTTTTATACCATTTTTTGAAGCTACAATAAATCTCAGATGAAATAGAGAAGTGAATGATGGTGAAAACTTTAAGCTTTTTCTTTTTCAATAACTATTCACTATATATTTATATAAAATTACATAATATAATTTCAACATATTTTATTGAAATGTTGTGTTAGTATTTAGACTACACGAGAGAATACATTACTTAATAAAAAGAAAACATAAATATAAAGAATGATTTCGATCAGAGCTGCTAGCCTGGCCTGCAGCCTGACAGGCAGCAGACCAGGCTGGATTTTAAATTTTCACGTGGCCTGATTAGGCTAAAAAATTGTTGACCTGGCGGCCTGCAGGCCAGGCCAGCCTAAAGTTCTTAGCCTGGGTATGATTTAATACTAACATTTACAGTATTCAATTCTAAGAATAAGACGACTTCACGAGTCGATGATGATTGCCTCTGATATTTTCTGTTGATCATCAAGTTAAATAAATGTTTTTATACGTTTTATAAGGTTTTTTGATCGTGTTTGTTACTATTAACTTTCAGTTCTTGAACATTTAGAATTTTTCAGTCTCTTTTTGAATTTTCTCTTTTGTTGATACACCGCTACAATTATTTCTAGCACTTTTTGTGCGACAACTATTTAAAATTCTTGTTAATTATTCAATCTTATACTAAGGAAGATCGCGTTACTCAGTTAAAGAGTTTCATGGTTCCGAGAACTGGTCTAAACTAGAATCGAATTCAGAGTTTCGTTTAATGAAAATGATGGAGAATTAAGTCCTATCCACTCGTAAAATTATCGTGTGAATACAAGCCATCAAACCGTAAGATTAGTAGAAGATTTTAAGCTAATGTTGAGAAGTTTTCATTAATACGTGTTTGAGATTGAAGATACCTTACATATCAGGAAGTGTTCAAGATAATCGATAGTTTCCATATCTACGTAGTTATAACTTTATTCCAAAAAAATTCAAATATCTCCATATAAATTCCTAAATTCCAACATCTACCGGGTGTACCAAAAGTTTTGTGATATTTTTGATTTCACATTTATCTCGACTTGAGAAAATGATAAAATCTTGATTTTTTTCTTAAAAGATGCGCCGTGAAAAGCTCTACACAACTGTATAAAGGAATCTCTATTAACTGATTCTGATGGTTTTTCGATGCTTGATATGAACAGCCTACACGGTAATACTATGGCCCACCGTATTGAGCATTGTAAAAATGTTTGAAAGATCTTTTCGTTTTGCAATAGGGATTTGTTCATACAGATTGTGTAGGGCTTTTAACAGCGTATCTTCGAAAAAAAATCAAGACGTTGCCATTTTTTCAAGCCGAGATATATGCAAAACAAAGATGTTGCAAAACTTTTGGTACACCTGGTACTTGATTGACTACATATTTGAAAGTGTTTCATTCATGGGAGAAACGGCGGATTGCGTATTTTCAGGATTTCTATCGTATTTTTATGATTTTTCGGATGGTCATAAGATTTTCATAAGATTTTGGAATTTGCGCGGGATTTCAGGGATTTGCACGAGATTTCATGGATTTTTACGGGATTTTTGTTGTACTTCAGAGGTTTCGCACAGAACCTTATAATGAGCGGCAATAGATCAAGTCATAGTAGAAACAAAATCTGTCATCGTCAGTTGCCTAGACACGTCACTTGTTATGATGAGTATCAAGCCAACTCGAATAGAAAACGTATTCTCAGCTCTTTTGTCTTTATACATACTGTCACAAGGCGTTCTACATTCTAGCTTACAGAGTATCTCATAAGATTGTTATGTTTTAGACACAATTTATCTAACAAAAGCATTTTTTACAGTGAAATATACAAAAATATGACTTCATCGATATCAAATAAATAACATATGCGTCATATCAGACTGACTTAAATAATGTATTTCATGGATTTTAATTGTATCTCAGGGAGTTTTTACGGATTTCTTGGATTTTACGGATTTTTTATAGATTTTCAAGGATTGGCAATTCCAAAACGCCGCCGTTTCCCTCTTGCTTATTTCCAAGTTTTTCATTACGTTCACGAAGCTAAATATTTTGAAGATTTCATAACTATATTATAGAATAGAACTTAATTACCCTAAGCACAATATCATTCCATGATGAACTCAATGCCTCTTTATATTAGGTGTAGCATGCGCTTGAACATGCCAAACGAAATTTTCCTGATCGAGTTGAAAATCTGTGTGGATAGTTTCTATTTGATTTTTTTAATGTAATAATATCGATTCAGTAATGATTCTACAATGCAAGAATATAGAGTACTAATATTACTCCACATATGTATGAACAGACATTTTTCATCAAATTCTTTTTTCATTTTAATATAATCTAAACCTCAATACTCTGCCTATGCACTAAATATTCCATTGCTATTAAATTTAGTACAGTTTTAAATAATAAATGTGAACTTACTGATATACGAGGCGAAATGTTCACAAAATTGATAACTATGATGAAATTTGTTAAGCTTTGAACTGGATTTGTTGTAATCTAATGTCCATTGTGTTTCAAAAAGAAGGATTCGAATTTTTTTACTTTCTCTTCAGTGTTGTTTCGGTATCACTTCAGACATAATGCATTCAATTTTTCTGTTCTATACTTAACAGTTAACCAAAGAAGAGATCCAATGGTAGTGCCAAAAACAAATTTCTCATAATAACATATTCAAAGTTGTTTGCTTGCAGCAGACCAACATAAAAGAGGGCAAGCAAAGATATCATATGACATAAGAAAATCTGTTAGCACACTTCTTGCGAGATTGAAATATGAAACACGATGTAGCCACTCACGCTAATCATGAAGATCGTGTTTTATTCTATCTTTTTTTGGGATATATTTCTTTAGCATGGTTTTACTTAGTCTCCCATAAATGAAATAAGGAAGTAGTTCATATATTATAGCGAAACTTTATCGGGATACAATCTGTGACCATATACAGGGGGTGGCAAAATTACAGACTCCCCTTGCATGTACAGACAAAAAAGTTTATTTCATTTCCATGATAAACGATATTTATCTGCTAATGGAATACGTACATGAGAGCACTCATGCACTGCCTAGCCCCACCATCTCTACCCTTCGTCTCTTGTTATTGGAAGAAAAATATTGAGAAAACAGAAATGACTTTAGCATAATTATAGACCCCACTTGCGAAAAAGAGTTTTTTTGTCTACTTTTACAGTGTGCTGAACCTTCACTTTTAGCATTTTATTGTCACACTAACTTCTTTTTAACCTTTTCACTCTATTTGATTTTTAATTGTAGTTATTTTACTTCAAAACCTCAAGATGTGAGGCATTCTCTGGGTTTTTACCGCTTTTCAGTGAAATTCAATTTTTGATCGCTTAAATTCGTTCCAATCTATGGGTATATACGAGACTTCTCCAAATATTGCTATTAGAACCAAAGTTGAAATGAGTTGATTCGATAACAATAGTAAATTCTTTTGTTTGGTTAGGGGATTTTTAAAAATCTGGTACAGTGAGACCCGAAAAATTTGCGATTACCAGTACAATTTGAACTTATAAAGCAAATCAAATAGTTTCGTTGGAAAGAGCAGATCAAGTTGTATTCGGAGTATACAAAAATTGGTAGAACCATGGCTTCTCCGAAAAATTAATCGAATACACAAAACATTGACTGACCGCAACCACCAGATGAGAATGATGATAACAGAAAATGTTTTACCGATTCTGTAGAAAAAGTTCTGGATGGTTCTCACTGAGCTTTCTAAAAGGGTACGATGTCACTAACACCACGGGAGTAGGAAATTTCTACCTTGAATTTGTCTGTGTTGTTTTGGTGATATTGCGTTCATTACGACCATTCTCAGCTCGTTGTTACAGTAAGTCAATGTTTTGTGTATTCGATTAATTTTTTGGAGAAGCAATGGTTCGTATTAGTTTTTGTATACTCCGAATACAGCTTGATCTGCTCTTTCCAACGATACTATTTGATTTGCTTTATAAGTTCAAATTGTACTTGTAATCGCAAATTTTTCGGATCTCACTATACGAGATTTTAAAAATCCCCTAGCCAAACAAAAGAATTTACTAGTGTTATCGAATCAACTCATTTCAACTTTGGTTCTAATAGCAATATTTGGAGAAGTCTCGTATATACCCATGTCGCTCGAACCGGTAAAAAACCGTCGGTCAACTGGGAGGTTAACCGTTCGGTGAACCGTGGTTAACCGATGGTAACCACGGTCAATCGACAATTACCCATCGTTGACCACTGACTCTTAATCTATACCCACTCAGCCTCTCTCTTTCATTTGACCCCCTCCTCTTTACGCATGATGTCTATTACTTATTTGAAGGGTGCACCTAGCTGTGCAATAAATCCATTTTGTCTGCACAAAGATTGACAATTTTCAGCGTGAAAACTCCCCAAATCCAACCAAATATTTTTGTCAGTTACAACAACTTTCATTCGCTATATCTGATAATGGTAATATATGTACCAAATCCAAAAAGAGAAGTTGTTAGTTTTCGTAGGGTTTGGTGAAACATGAGCATTTTTTTTATCAAATCCTACTAATCTTACAACTTCTCCTTTAACATTTGATAAATACAGTACCAGTACCAGAGAGAGCGAATAAAACTTGATATAATTGATCGAAGGCATTCTTGAATTTAGGAGGCCTTCATACCAAAATTTACAAACTTTATGCAGATAAAATGGATTTGTTCCACTCCTAGTGCACCAAATCTAAATAAAAAAAATAATTTTATTGTTCAAAAATTTATACTTACATTTTCATTAGTGTTTGAACTAACTCTAAATAAACAAAATAATTTTATTATTTCAAAATTCATACTTACATTTTCATTAGATGTTGAACCGAATCTAAATAAAAAAAATAATTTTATTCTTTAAAAGTATATACTTACATTTTTATTAAATG